TTCAGTTGTACTGGTTTGGCTCAAATCCCTGTTTATAGCTGCAACTTTGAATGATTATATCTCAGACAGTGATCAATAAAAATCTGAAAATTTACAGGCTATTCTTGCGTGATTGGTGTTCATGTCTGTCAAATTGCAGATTATTTTGACCTGTATAGCATGAGATATGTTTTGAAGTTAGATGTATAATTTGAATTCGAAAGTTCATGATCTAGCTGCAGTTTTATATGGATATATCTCAGTCTACGATTATGATTTTGAATTGATATATTTATGGCATGTTCCTATTTATGTTGAGAGTATGTCTTTGAAATTTTTATGAGCATTTATCATGACAGTCTATGATGATGTGTAATAAAGCATATAAAAATGTTAGAGCCTCAGCATGACAGTCTGCCTTTTTAATTGAGATATCTCAGCATATACCCAATTATTTGATTCTAAATTTTTATGAGCATTTATTGTATGAGTTGTGATCATGCCTGTCAAATTTCAGCATAAAATTATGAGCATAGAATTTTAGAGAAATTCTTGAATCAACAGGTGTTAATCTCATGTTTGTGTGCTATGTTTAGCTGAATGGTTGACCTGCCTATAGTTTAGATTTTGACCTAAAATTCTTACAGGAGATACATGAACTTGTGCGCTATTTAACTGTTAAGTTTCAGAATTTTATGAGTTATGTGTGATTTTATAAAAATCATGGAGTTTAAGGGTCCATTTCGCCTTATATATTAAGGTAATTGGGAACCCTTAGACCGGTTGACATTCCCTTCAGATAGGAGTTATATAGCTCAGTATATGGCCGGTTAGACCAGTCCAGTTAGTCAGTACCAGTTTTTGCTTGTCTTATCTGCCTTACAAGAATTATTTGATTATCTGATTTTATCTGCCTTATCTACCTTGTCTGCTTCTCTGCTATCACCTATAATAATAAGATAAATATTATTACTTGTACAGTAACAAGGAGTCGAGCCATCGACCTTGTTTGAACGTGCATTCACCATCATCCTCTGCGGTATCAAGTGGGTGTTGATAAACATTACCGTGTATGTTATTTGATATAAATTGTTTGGCTTGATAATCAATGTATGCATGTGAACCGTTAGTCTATCAGAGGTTCTCACGTTGATGTTGTGCCGACGTTCTCCTACTTTAGCCTATAGAGAGGTTCTCCCGTTGATGTTGTGCCGACGGTTTAGCTCCCGCTGATGTTGTGCCGACGGTTTAGATGTGATCACATGAGCGTAAGGCTGTTTAGGTGGTGGACTAGACGATTTGTGTTCATGCTACAATTATGATTTTAAGTCATTATATTGAATAGACTGCATGGTATTCCCACAGTGAGCATGTTGGTCGCTCACTCCCACTATTTCTCCCTTTTCAGGTTGAGTTGGTAGCCGCGGCGAAAGACGAGCGAAGCGGGGTCATATTTATCTGTTGATTATGATTTGTTTTTGCTTCCGCATTTTGATTATTATTGATATCATTTGCTAGACACATTTAAACTATTGAATTTGAGACTGGATTATGTACTTGAATATTCTGCATGCATTGAAATTATGAATTGGAATTCACTGAGGTTGATTAAGATTTGAGATTATGATGATATATTTTTAATTGTCTGGTTGATTCCCAGTTGCTTAAGTTTGGACTTAAGCTGATTAATTGAGATAACTGAGTAATGCCCATTAAATAAATTTTTTTAAAATGATTTGTGAAAAATAAACTCTGATTTTTAAAAAATATTTGGTATTTTTTCCTTAAAAAAAAATGGGGCGTTACAAATACAATTAAATTCTATTAAATACTCATTCTTAAATAAATATTATTGTTTTCCTCATAGGTACAAGGCTCAATTTGAAGTGAGTGATGCAACAAGAACGCTTCTTTAATTTGTTGGAATAAAGATTGTGAAAAATTGAATGGCTATCCGTGTCATGAATTGTGTTCGAAATACGCAGAGGTCTATTGTTTTACATTAAAATTAAATTTATTTAACTGTTCAATAATTATTATTGCAATATAGTTATTACAGTGCAATTATTAATTTTAATCTTCCAAACAGATGAAAGATGAAATTGATATCCCTGATGAGCTGGCAACAATGATAGGAAAAAAAAAATATATAGTTCAAGGTTTAGGTGAAGTTAAACCAAACAAACAATTTTGATGGTTCTTTTTTAGTTTTTAAAACTTGCGACGATGATGAAACTGTTAGGAAATATGGAACTTTTCTTATTGAAAGTCAGGTACCAATCGTTATTTTTTTAATTTTAATTAATATATAATAGATAACAGATAATAAATAATAGATTGTAACATATACGTATCATTTTATTTTTATGATAATAAAAATTTAGATGTATCATCTGTTTTATAAGAACCAGGTTTGATGTCCAAAATGGTGCGTGGGGAAGCATGAAGGGAGCTTGACTACGTATGTTAATTTAAATATTTTAAATTAACTCACATTATTTATTTATGATTATTTTTATTAATATTATATTATATAATTATTATTATCGCTTTGTGTTACTATGACTGCTATGTTAAGACCACTAGTTATTTACTCTAACTAGTACGATACCCGTGTACTACACGGGTACTTAAATATATCAATATTTGTACAATAAAAAATTAAAATTATTTTTATTTTTATTATAAAGTTATACAATAATAATAACTAACTAACAAAGTGATAACTAAAATTGATATTTAATAATAAAAATTTAGTTATACTTTGAAAATTATATATGTATAAAATTGATATTATTTACAACTCTATATATTTGATTCAAATTTTCTTAAAAAAACAAGTTTTATTGTATTTCTATTATATTTTATATTTATAGGGTTTGTGTCTCGTTTATTAATTTTTTAAATATTTTAAATTCATGTAACTTAAGAATTTAGAACATTAATTTACGAAGAAACGTATTATTTCATGATTTATGAAATATTAAAGTATTTTATTATATATAAGTAGGATATTTCCTTATAATTATTATTTTAAACAACATAATAACATTCAAATTTTTATATAATCTATTTTAAACAGAGAAATAATACTTTATAATATTTCTTAATATTTACTTATGTAATACTTATTTTTTATATTTTATTCAAAATCTATGGAGAAAATACATTAAAATGATTATTTTATGGTGTATTAGTGAATTGTTATTATTTTTTTGATATAATTTATATTGTTACTTGATGTTATTTAAATTGATTTGATAATAAATTAAGTTTTATTTATTAAGAAAGATAATATTTTTTATTTTATATATAATATGGATGTCATATCGAAGATCGTTAGAATATGATTATTTTGATATATCATATATAAAAAAATTCGAATAAAATTTTTTAAAAATAAAAAGATTACATATTTATAATAAGTAATAAATGAATTAAGTAAGAAAAGTATGAAATATTCAAATTATCTTTGTTTTTATTTATTCATTTATATTTATTAAAAGACTTTTTAATTGTCTATGATGCTATCATATACACATATAATGTTATCTTTTATAGTATCCATGTTTGAATACATGATATTATTTTACAGTTTAGGTACTGGATTGTCTATGATTTTTAAGACCCTCACAAGAGTCAATAATGCTATACACTGGCCATATGAAGGCCCCCATTTAGTAGTTGAGGGAATAGTTGATTTTGTTATTATTTAGTTTTCTTGTTTTAAGGTAAAAAGGAAAAGGGCAAAACAAATTTGTTTCTATTTGGAATAAAAAAGAGAATGAGATTGACCGAAAAAGTCCAAAGTAATAGAATAGTGGTACAATTTCAAACTCAATACTAAAGTAGTAATTTAAAATAAAAGAAGTGTTTTCCATGTTGACTCAGACTTAGAATGGTTTACATTTGAAGAAGTGTCTGGCTCTCCTTTGTCGTGTATTGATATTGAGTTCATTTGAGGGATACTACATATCTTTTGGTTTTATTTTACATAACAGTTTTTATTATTTGTTTACCCTTAAGAATTGATTGGAGATCATTTTATTTTATTTTATTTTTTCACTTCTAATAGGTGTTGGGATTATTATGGTTTGGAGAAAATTTCTTATTTTTTTGGACTATTGAGTGTTTAAATATGTGATATTATTTTTTGTTCTCTTTGGCTTACGCGTATCTGCAAGTTAGTACCAAGAAACAAATATTTTTGAAATTTGGTAAGGTTGTGGTAATGCATAATTATAATTACTCAATTATATTTTGTCGATAATTATGCATGGGTTTAACCTCAAATTACATGCTACAGAAAAAATATTAATAAAACCAAACATATAATAACATAAATATGCATTTTCATAAAAAAGACACGCCGGGTCAACCCACAACGACTAAGCCAATTCATACAAGAATTTGTGTCGAAATATGTATGAGCCGACAATTAGGACATTAGTATTTTATTCATTCCAATAGTATGGATGGAAAATAAAAACAACATAACAATAAGTACATGGATTAATATCCTTATTTCAGTCTGCCAAGTTTCCTAGTTGTATACTAAAAGGCCTTTATCGGGCGGAATCCACCCCAGGTGATTCTATTTATTTGTGCCACTAATTTAATGGTATTGGGCTTGAGTTTGAGCTCGGGGAGCTGATTTCCTCATCATCGGCTTAGTATAGGAAATTTGATTCCAGAGCAAAAGCCTCCCCATTAAGAGATGCTGACTCTGGGCCTAAAGCCTCCTCGTTAAGAGATGCCGACTCTGGGCTTAAGCCTCCTCGTCGATAGATGTTGCTGATTGTGGCCCAAGTGCTTGCTTTCGGGGCACATTCCCAGAGCTTTTAAGCCCAATGGACTTGGCCATCCCACGACGTGCGCCTAATTGACGCATCTCGCAGAACATCGGGAGGAAAACCCCTAGCCATCATCAATTTTAGTGGAAAATTAATGAAAAAGAAATATAAATAGTTAAATACCTAAACTCGTAATTGTAATTCAAATTAACTCTAGCTTGATTTTTTTAACTCGTAATTGTGTTTGGGTCAAGGATCTGATGACTGCAGATGGTTGGCAAAGCTAAAGTGAATAGGACCTTTCCTGCTCCTATCTGTGACCTAGTCCTGTCCATAAAGTCTATTAACCCTAATCAGGAAGACAAGTGGAAGTGGAAACTGCACAACAAAGGTCTATTCTCTGTCCAGTCTGCTTATGCTCACTTAATTGTTGACAAATACCTCAGAAGTGTTCCAGCCCAGGGAAGTGGGGATCTTTCCAGGGACATTAAAGTCAGGAATAGGAGCTGGAAAATGCAGGTCATGGGCAAACTCAAGCATTTCATATGGGAATGCTGCAATGGCACACTACCAGTCGCCCATAACCTGTTGGCAAGGGGAATTCAGGTAGATAACATCTGTGGATTATATGGTGAAGGGGTTGAGATATTAGAGCATGTGCTTTTTCACTGTCATTATGCCCAAATGGTTTGGAAGCTTGCTCCTGTGCACTGGGAAGGGCCACAAAAGGGAGATTCATTTCATGACTGGTGGTGGCACATCTGCCAGATGGACAAAACAGAGACATCAGAGGCCCGCATTCAACTCTCGACATACATATTATGGTGGCTCTGGAAAACACGCAATATGTGGCTGTTTGAGAAGGTTAGAAGGCCTGCACATCTTCTTGTTAAAGCTGCCTTACATGACTGGAATTCTTATAGGGCAAGAGGAGTGGCTAGGCCTTGATGTTATCTGTTTTTCAGTTTCCTTTTCTATTTTCTTTTTCTTTTTTCCTTCTGTTTGGGTTGGTTAGTATAGGAGTTTAAGGCCCAGTTATGTAACTGCTTGCTCCTTTGCGGTTCTTGTGTTTTATTGCTTGGGCTCTAGGCCACCGTTTGGTGTGGTTCTCTCAATTCCCGGCTTTTCATTTGGTGTATTGGGTGTTAGTGTTGTTCTTTTAGTTTGGTTATTTTGTATCTTGCTCAGACTATGTTATGTTTGTTATTTCAATGAGATGATCTATCGTTTGGGAAAAAAAAAGAATTAAGATTTTTAACCTAAATTTAATGAATAAGGGTTGGATACCTTCTCCGGCTGCAAGGTTGAAGTAGAGATCGACGATGTTAGGGCAGTTGTTATAGCATGCTCTCGAGCATAGGCTCTGGGTAAACCTGCGGTCAAGGAGCGAGTCGGACGATATGCCAAGTGCTTGTCTGTCGACCCCACACGACCTGATGTACTCGTCGGTCTCGACCAAGTTTCTAATCTTGTCGGCCACGATCTCGGATGTCCCACATGTGTAAGCAGTTGTCCCGCTCATGCGCAGGCGACTCTCAAGCACGCATCGCTTTTCGAATGACGACACAGAGAACGCGCATGATTTCTCATCGAGGTCCTCACAAAGGATGTCCATACCTACATGATAGTCGTATTATATGATACCGGTTACATTTTTAATTTATACTTTGAATATTTTAAATATTTATGCATAACTATTACAAACATTTCTTTATATATCGATGAATCTCGTGTAATATACGAGTGTTGCAGTAACAAAAAACACATGTGATTCATGACTTACTAAGAATTGATTGAGTTGAGATGGCTAGGGAAAGAACAATGATCAGAATTGTTGTTGATGCCATTGCTTGTGGTAGGGATTTGATATTATGGTCCTTTGGTTTTGGGGATTTGAAGGATTGAAGACTAGTGATATAGCCATATAAAGATATACCGGCCCAAAGGCTCTCTACTCGACCGGATAGTGGCTCAAACCGATTCGACATGTCGACATGCACCCGTCGACTGAAGGAGTCGACTTCCTCTAGGTCGACTTCTTAACAAGGTTGATAAAAAGAAATGGCAGATGCCCTACAAGTCGACTTTCGGATGTCGACATTGTCCAGTCGACTTCCCGAATGTCGACATCTATCTGAGAAAACTGACAAGAGCGTAGCCTCCGAATACCCAAAAGATCCTGGGTCGACTCGTTTATACTCAAGGTCGACTCCTTGTACCTCGAGACGTGAGGCACTCCAACGATTCCATACACTTGGTATATTTCTTGGAACCTCTTGACCATCAATGGATAAGAAGGAATCTTGAGATGACTCAGCAAGGAGGGGAGACGAATCGACCGGGGCAATTTAGACCTTTTAGGTCCACCGACTTGGGCATTTCGGGTACTTCAAATAAGTATTCACTCCTATATAAAGGAGATGAGGTAACCCTAAACTCTAACTCTCATTCATTCCACACACTCCTCATAGCTGCTGCGCAACATCCCTTCATCTCTCTCATACTGACTTGAGCGTCGGAGGCTCTACGCCGGAAACACCTCCGGTGTTGAGTTTTTGCAGGTATTCTCGCGGTCTAGCAATGATTCAGAGGCGGTTATCGGTTCTCTTCTGATCTAGAAGTAGACCCATCAACTAGCTAATGGAGTAACGAGCCAATGGTATGGTATGCTATTTATAGACGATTATGGGTGTGTGAACATGAGAATTTTTTCATAGTAATTTAAATGCATGCATGAGAAAGAATGTAATTAATATTGTAAGTTTATTGTCATTTGATACGAAAGAAATTTTACTTTTCACGTTGGAGAAAAAGTTAAATTTTTATTCCCACTAATAAGTGACTTTTTCCCCTTCTTTTTCTTCTTGTTTTGTTTGTTCCACTCATGTAACATGTTTATTTACTTTTTCAAGAAAAAATAAAATCATTTCTTGATAAGTCGTACTTTTTAAATATTAGTTGTCACGTTTCCATACTTTTTAATTGTTTGTTTGAGCTTAATTGTGGATTACAACTGATTCTTGCTATTTTTGTAGGAAATCTTGGAGTTTGAAAATGATGAATATTATGTGATTTTGATGTGCAAAATCTTAAGAAACGAATTTTTCTATGTGAAAATAATCGAATGAATAATATTTTTCTATTGATAATGTACACTTTGTATCTTTTTACAGAAAAAAAAATAAAAAAAATAAAGAAACATAAAATATTCTAGCCAAAAACACAAAGTTACAATTCTTTGTTTTCGAGCCCTTCTCAAACAGATCCAGATTAGTCTTTGAATAAAATCATTAGCTCTAAAATAATCCTAATTAAGGTCATTATTTTGATAAAATATTGGCAAATTATTCACTTGAAGAAATATGAATACAAGACAAACTTTTGATTAGCTCTGAAATTGTAAATAACGAAAGTAATTACAAGTCAACCTAATAATTTGTTTGAAATTATTGTTCGTGTAGACTAAAATTACTCTCATAATTTACTTTAGGCCATCACGCTCAACCACACAAGTTGATATTATTCCTATTTGTGAATCATAGAACATTATTATATTAACAAATAAACGTTGTAAGGGAATTATGAAAGAATGAGCACAACCGAATGAAGAGGTAACATAGACAACATCTAACTATAATGTATGTGTATTTGGAGGTCAATTAACTATGAAAGAACATAGTTTCATTGTTATTTCTATAAAATTAATTATTTCTCATTAAACATGATTTATCCATGTGTAATTGGAAGAAAAAAGATGTATATGTTAATTAAATGAATTTACGTCCATGTATCATATCATATATATTAAGCCAGCTCGGTTAGACGTTCGATTCATGTCTAAGCTCAAATGTACAAATACAAAAAAGTCGGTGCGACGCTGAAAAGGGGTGTAACGCGTACTAGGATTGTAACAAAAATAAGCACTAGTGTAATTAAGCTTGAGAATCAAACATGGAGCTATTTTAAATTTTCTATGATGCTGTCATATACACATACAATGTAATATTTTATAATATCCATGTTTGAATACATGATATTATTTTACAGTTTAGGTACTGGATTGTCTATGACTTTTAAGACCCTCACAAGAGTTAATAATGCTACACACTGGCCATATGAAGGCCCGCATTTAGTAGTTGAGGGAATAGTTGATTTTGTTATTATTTAATTTTCTTGTTTTAAGGTAAAAAGGAAAAGGGTAAAAAAAAATTGTTTCTATTTGGAATAAAAAAGAAAATGAGATTGACCGAAAAATTCCAAAGTAATAGAATAGTGGTACAATTTCAAACTCAGTAGTAAGGTAGTAATTTAAAATAAAAGAAGTGTTTTCCATGTTGACTCAGACTTAGAATGGTTTACATTTGAAGAAGTGTCTGGCTCTCCTTTGTCGTGCAATGATATTGAGTTCATTTGAGGGATACTACATATCTTTTGGTTTTATTTTACATAACAGTTTTTATTATTTGGTTACCCTTAAGAATTGATTGGAGATCATTTTATTTAATTTTGTTTTTTTCAGTTCTTATAGGTGTTGGGATTATTATGATTTGGAAAAAGTTTCTTTATTTTTTTGGACTATTGAGTGTTTAAATATGTGTTATTATTTTTTGTTCTCTTTGGCCTACGCGTATCTGCAAGTCAGTACCAAGAAACAAATATTTTTGAAATTTGGTAAGGCTGTTGTAATGCATAATTATAATTACTCAATTATATTTTGCCGATAATTATGCAAGGTTTTAACCTCAAATTACAGGCTACAGAAAAATATTAATAAAACCATAACATATAATAATATAAATATGCATTTTCATAAAAAAGACACGCCGGGTCAACCCACAATGACTAAGCCAATTCATACAAGAATTTGTGTCGAAATATGTATGAGCCGACAATTAGGACATTAGTATTTTATTCATTTCAATAGTATGGATGAAAAATAAAAACAACATAACAATAAGTACATGGATTAATATCCTTATTTCAGTCTGCCAAGTTTCCTAGTTGTATAATACAAGGCCTTTATCGGGCCGAATCCACCCCAGGTGATTCTATTTATTTGTGCCACTAATTTGATGGTATTGGGCTTGAGTTTGAGCTCGGGGAGCTGATTTCCTCGTCATTGGCTTAGTATAGAGAATTTGATTCCGGAGCAAAAGCCTCCTCGTTAAGAGATGCCGACTCTGGGCCTAAAGCCTCCTCGTTAAGAGATGCCGACTCTGGGCTTAAAGCCTCCTCGTCAATAGATGTTGCTGATTGTGGCCCAAGTGCTTGCTTTCGGGGCACATTCCCAGAGCTTTTAAGCCCAATGGACTCGGCCATCCCACGACGTGCGCCTGATTGACGCATCTCGCAGAACATCGGGAGGAAAACCCCTAGCCATCATCAATTTTAGTGGAAAATTAATGAAAAAGAAATATAAATAGTTAAATACGTAAATTCGTAAGTGTAATTCAAATTAACTCTAGCTCGAATTTTTTTAATTATTTTTAAATCTGAATTAAGATTTTTAACCTAAATTTATTGAATAAAGGTTGGGTACCTTCTCCGGCTGCAAGGTTGAAGTAGAGATCGACGATGTTAGGGCAGTTGTTATAGCATGCTCTCGAGCATAGGCTCTGGGCAAACCTGCGGTCAAGGAGCGAGTCGGACGATATGCCAAGTGCTTGCCTGTCGACCCCACACGACCTGATGCACTCGTCGGTCTCGAGCAAGTTTCTAATCTTGTCAGCCACGATCTCGGAGGTCCCACACGTGTAAGTAGTCGTCCCACTCATGCGCAGGCGACTCTCAAGCACGCATCGCTTGCCGGATGACGACACAGAGAACGCGCATGATTTCTCATCGAGGTCCTCACAAAGGATGTCCATACCTACACGATAGTCGTATTATATGATACTGGTTACATTTTGAATTTATACTTTGAATATTTTAAATATTTATGCATAACTATTACAAACATTTGTTTATATATCGATGAATCTCGTGTCATATACGAGTGTTGCAGTAACAAAAAACACATGTGATTCATGACTTACTAAGAATTGATTGAGTTGAGATGGCTAGGGAAAGAACAATGATCAGAATTGTTGTTGATGCCATTGCTTGTGGTGGGGATTCGATATTATGGTCCTTTGCTTTTGGGGATTTGAAGGATTGAAGACTAGCTAATGGAGTAACGAGCCAATGGTATGGTATGCTATTTATAGACAATTATGGGTGTGTGAACATGAGAATTTTTTCAAAGTAATTTAAATGCATGCGTGAGAAAGAATGTAATTAATATTGTAAGTTTATTGTCATTTTATATCAAAGAAATTTTACTTTTTATGTTGGAGTAAAAGTTAAATTTTTATCCCACTAATAAGTGACTCTATCCCCTTCTTATTCTTCTTCTTTTGTTTGTTCCACTCATGTAACATGTTTATTTACTTTTTCACAAAAAAATAGAATCATTTCTTGATAAGTCGTATTTTTTACATATTAGTTGTCATGTTTCCATATTTTTTAATTGTTTGTTTGAGCTTAACTGTTGATTACAACTGATTCTTGCTATTTTTGTAGGAAATCTTTGGAGTTTGAAATGATGAATATTATGTGATTTTGATGTGCAAAAACGTAAGAAACAAATTTTTCTATGTGAAAATAATCGAATGAATGATATTTTCTATTGATAATGTACACTTTGTATCTTTTTACAGAAAAAAAAATTAAAAAATAATAAAAAAAAACATAAAATTTTTTAGCCACAAACACAAAGTTACAATTCTTTGTTTTCGAGCCCTTCTAAAATAGATCCAGATTAGTCTTTGAATACAATCATTATCTCTAAAATGATTCCTAATTAAGGTCATTATTTTGATAGAATATTGGCTAATTATTCACTTGAAGAAATATGAATACAAGACAAACTTTTGATTAGCTCTGAAATTGTAAATAACGAAAGTAATTACAAGTCAACCTAATAATTTGTTCGAAATTCTTGTTCGCGTAGACTAAAACTACTCTCATAATTTTACTATAGGCCATCACGCTCAACCACACAAGTGGATATTATTCCTATTTGTGAATCATAGGACATTATTATATTACCAAATAAACGTTGTAAGGGAATTATGAAAGAATGAGCTCAACCGATTAAAGAGGTAAAATAGACAACATCTAACTATAATATATGTGTATTTGGAGGTCAATTAATTATGAAAGAACATAATTTCATTGTTATTTCTATAAAATTAATTATTTCTCATTAAACATGATTTATCCATGTGTAATTGGAAGAAAATAGATGTATATGTTAATTAAATGAATTTATGTCCATGTATCATATCATATATATTAAGCCAGCTCGGTTAGACGTTCGATTCATGTCCTAGCTCAAATGTACAAATACAAAAAAGTCGTTGCGACACTGAAAAGGGGTGTAAGGCATACTAGGATTGTAACATAAATAAGTACTAGTGTAATTAACCGTGAGAATTAAACGTGGAGCTATTTTAAATTGTCTATGATGCTATCATATACGCATATATTGTTATCTTTTATAGAATCCATGTTTGAATACATGATATTATTTTACCGTTTAGATACTGGATTGTCTATGACTTTTAAGACCCTCACAAGAGTCAATAATGCTACACACTGGCCGTATGAAGGCCCCCATTTAGTAGTTGAGGGAATATATGATTTTGTTATTATTTAGTTTTCTTGTTTTAAGGTAAAAAGGAAAAGGGCAAAACAAATTTGTTTCTATTTGGAATAAAAAAGAAAATGAGATTGACTGAAAAAGTCCAAAGTAAAAGAATAGTGGTACAATTTCAAACTCAGTACTAAAGTAGTAATTTGAAATAAAAGAAGTGTTTTCCATGTTGACTCAGACTTAGAATGGTTTACATTTGAAGAAGTGTCTGGCTCTCCTTTGTCGTGCGTTGATATTGAGTTCATTTGAGAGATACTACATATATTTTTGGTTTTATTTTACATAACATTTTTTATTATTTGGTTACCCTTAAGAATTGATTGGAGATCATTTTATTTAATTTTATTTTTTCATTTCTTACAGGTCTTGGGATTATTACGGTTTGGAGAAAATTTCTTTATTTTTTTGGACTATTGAGTGTTTAAATATGTGATATTATTTTTTGTTCTCTTTGGCATACGCGTATCTGCAAGTCAGTACCAAGAAACAAATATTTTTGAAATTTGGTAAGGCTGTTGTAATGCATAATTATAATTACTCAATTATATTCTGCCGAGAATTATGCATGGTTTTAACCTCAAATTACATGCTACAGAAAAACATTAATAAAACCATAACATATAATAACATAAATATGTATTTTCATAAAAAAGACACGCCGGGTCAACCCACAACGACTAAGCCAATTTATACAAGAATTTGTGTCCAAATATGTATGAGCCGACAATTAGGACATTAGTATTTTATTCATTCCAATAGTATGGCTGAAAAATAAAAACAACATGACAATAAGTACATGGATTAATATCCTTATTTCAGTTTGCCAAGTTTCATAGTTGTATAATACAAGGCCTTTTTCGGGCCGATTCCACCCCAGGTGATTCTATTTATTTGTGCCACAAATTTAATGGTATTGGGCTTGAGTTTGAGCTCGGGGAGCTGATTTCCTCGTCATTGTCTTAGTATAGAGAATTTGATTCCAGAGCAAAAGCCTCCTCGTTAAGAGATGCTGACTCTGGGCCTAAAGCCTCCTCGTTAAGAGATGCCGACTCTGGGCTTAAAGCCTCCTCGTCAAGAGATGTTGCTGATTGTGGCCCAAGGGCTTGCTTTCCGGGCACATTCCCAGAGCTTTTAAGCCCAATGGACTCGACCATCCCACGACGTGTGCCTGATTGACGCATCTCGCAGAACATCGGGAGGAAAACCCCTAGCCATCATCAATTTTAGTGGAAAATTAATGAAAAATAAATATAAATAGTTAAATACGTAAACTCGTAATTGTAATTCAAATTAACTCTAGCTCGATTTTTTTTAATTATTTTTAAATCTGAATTAAGATTTTTAACCTAAATTTATTGAATAAAGGTTGGATACCTTCTCCGGCTGCAAGGTTGAAGTAGAGATCGACGATGTTAGGGCAGTTGTTATAGCATGCTCTCGAGCATAGGCTCTGGGCAAACCTGCGGTCAAGGAGCGAGTCGGACGATATGCCAAGTGCTTGCCTGTCGACCCCACACGACCTGATGCACTCGTCGGTCTCGAGCAAGTTTCTAATCTTGTCAGCCACGATCTCGGAGGTCCCACATGTGTAAGTAGTCGTCCCACTCATGCGCAGGCGACTCTCAAGCACGCATCGCTTGCCGGATGACGACACAGAGAACGCGCATGATTTCTCATCGAGGTCCTCACAAAGGATGTCCATACCTACACGATAGTCGTATTATATGATACTGGTTACATTTTGAATTTATACTTTGAATATTTTAAATATTTATGCATAACTATTACAAACATTTGTTTATATATCGATGAATCTCGTGTCATATACGAGTGTTGCAGTAACAAAAAACACATGTGATTCATGACTTACTAAGAATTGATTGAGTTGAGATGGCTAGGGAAAGAACAATGATCAGAATTGTTGTTGATGCCATTGCTTGTGGTGGGGATTTGATATTATGGTCCTTTGCTTTTGGGGATTTGAAGGATTGAAGACTAGCTAATGGAGTAACGAGCCAATGGTATGGTATGCTATTTATAGACAATTATGGGTGTGTGAACATGAGAATTTTTTCAAAGTAATATAAATGCATGCGTGAGAAAGAATGTAATTGATAATGTAACTTTATTGTCATTTTATACCAAAGAAATTTTACTTTTTACGTTGGAGTAAAAGTTAAATTTTATCCCACTAATAAGTGACTCTTTCCCCTTCTTATTCTTCTTGTTTTGTTTGTTCCACTCATGTAACATGTTTATTTACTTTTTCACAAAAAAATAGAATCATTTCTTGATAAGTCGTATTTTTTACATATTAGTTGTCATGTTTCCATACTTTTTAATTGTTTGTTTGAGCTTTACTGTGGATTACAACTGATTCTTGCTATTTTTGTAGGAAATCTTTGGAGTTTGAAAATGATGAATATTATGTGATTTTGATGTGCAAAAACGTAAGAAACAAATTTTTCTATGTGAAAATAATCGAATGAATGATATTTTCTATTGATAATATACACTTTGTATCTTTTTACAGAAAAATTAAAAAAAATAAAAAAAAAAACATAAAATATTTTAGCCACAAACACAAAGTTACAATTCTTTGTTTTCGAGCCCTTCTAAAACAGATCCAGATTAGTCTTTGAATACAATCATTATCTCTAAAATGATTCCTAATTAAGGTCATTATTTTGATAAAATATTGGCTAATTATTCACTTGAAGAAATATGAATACAAGACAAACTTTTGATTAGCTCTGAAATTGTAAATAACGAAAGTAATTACAAGTCAACCTAATAATTTGTTCGAAATTCTTGTTCGCGTAGACAAAAACTACTCTCATAATTTTACTATAGGCCATCACGCTCAACCACATAAGTGGATATTATTCCTATTTGTGAATCATAGGACATTATTATATTAACAAATAAACGTTGTAAGGGAATTATGAAAGAATGAGCTCAACCGATTAAAGAGGTAACATAGACAACATCTAACTATAATATATGTGTATTTGGAGGTCAATTTATTATGAAAGAACATAATTTCATTGTTATTTCTATAAAATTAATTATTTCTCATTAAACATGATTTATCCATGTGTAATTGGAAGAAAATAGATGTATATGTTAATTAAATGAATTTATGTCCATGTATCATATCATATATATTAAGCCAGCTCGGTTAGACGTTCGATTCATGTCCTAGCTCAAATGTACAAATACAAAAAAGTCGTTGCGACACTGAAAAGGGGTGTAAGGCATACTAGGATTGTAACATAAATAGGTACTAGTGTAATTAACCGTGAGAATCAAACATGGAGCTATTTTAAATTGTCTATGATGCTATCATATACACATATAATGTTATCTTTTATAGTATCCATGTTTGAATACATGATATTATTTTACAGTTTGGATACTGGATTGTCTATGACTTTTAAGACCCTGACAAGAGTCAATAATGCTTCACACTGGCCGTATGAAGGCCCCCATTTAGTAGTTGAGGGAATATATGATTTTGTTATTATTTAGTTTTCTTGTTTTAAGGTAAAAAGGAAAAGGGCAAAACAAATTTGTTTCTATTTGGAATAAAAAAGAAAATGAGATTGACTGAAAAAGTCCAAAGTAAAAGAATAGTGGTACAATTTCAAACTCAGTACTAAAGTAGTAATTTGAAATAAAAGAAGTGTTTTCCATGTTGACTCAGACTTAGAATGGTTTACATTTGAAGAAGTGTCTGGCTCTCCTTTGTCGTGCGTTGATATTGAGTTCATTTGAGGGATACTACATATCTTTTGGTTTTATTTTACATAACAGTTTTTATTATTTGGTTACCCTTAAGAATTGATTGGAGATCATTTTATTTAATTTTATTTTTTCATTTCTTACAGGTCTTGGGATTATTATGGTTTGGAGAAAATTTCTTTATTTTTTTGGACTATTGAGTGTTTAAATATGTGATATTATTTTTTGTTCTCTTTGGCATACGCGTATCTGCAAGTCAGTACCAAGAAACAAATATTTTTGAAATTTGGTAAGGCTGTTGTAATGCATAATTATAATTACTCAATTATATTCTGCCGATAATTATGCATGGTTTTAACCTCAAATTACATGCTACAGAAAAACATTAATAAAACCATAACATATAATAACATAAATATGTATTTTCATAAAAAAGACACGCCGGGTCAACCCACAACGACTAAGCCAATTTATACAAGAATTTGTGTCCAAATATGTATGAGCCGACAATTAGGACATTAGTATTTTATTCATTCCAATAGTATGGCTGAAAAATAAAAACAACATGACAATAAGTACATGGATTAATATCCTTATTTCAGTTTGCCAAGTTTCCTAGTTGTATAATACAAGGCCTTTTTCGGGCCGATTCCACCCCAGGTGATTCTATTTATTTGTGCCACAAATTTAATGGTATTGGGCTTGAGTTTGAGCTCGGGGAGCTGATTTCCTCGTCATCGTCTTAGTATAGAGAATTTGATTCCAGAGCAAAAGCCTCCTCGTTAAGAGATGCTGACTCTGGGCCTAAAGCCTCCTCGTTAAGAGATGCCGACTCTGGGCTTAAAGCCTCCTCGTCAAGAGATGTTGCTGATTGTGGCCCAAGTGCTTGCTTTCCGGGCACATTCCCAGAGCTTTTAAGCCCAATGGACTCGACCATCCCACGACGTGCGCCTGATTGACGCATCTCGCAGAACATCGGGAGGAAAACCCCTAGCCATCATCAATTTTAGTGGAAAATTAATGAAAAAGAAATATAAATAGTTAAATACGTAAACTCGTAATTGTAATTCAAATTAACTCTAGCTCGATTTTTTTTTAATTATTTTTAAATTTGAATTTAGATTTTTAACCTAAATTTATTGAATAAAGGTTGGATACCTTCTCCGGCTGCAAGGTTGAAGTAGAGATCGACGATGTTAGGGCAGTTGTTATAGCATGCTCTCGAGCATAGGCTCTGGGCAAACCTGCGGTCAAGGAGCGAGTCGGACGATATGCCAAGTGCTTGCCTGTCGACCCCACACGACCTGATGCACTCGTCGGTCTCGAGCAAGTTTCTAATCTTGTCAGCCACGATCTCGGAGGTCCCACATGTGTAAGTAGTCGTCCCACTCATGCGCAGGCGACTCTCAAGCACGCATCGCTTGCCGGATGACGACACAGAGAACGCACATGATTTCTCATCGAGGTCCTCACAAAGGATGTCCATACCTACACGATAGTCGTATTATATGATACTGGTTGCATTTTGAATTTATACTTTGAATATTTTAAATATTTATGCATAACTATTACAAACATTTGTTTATATATCGATGAATCTCGTGTCATATACGAGTGTTGCAGTAACAAAAAACACATGTGATTCATGACTTACTAAGAATTGATTGAGTTGAGATGGCTAGGGAAAGAACAATGATCAGAATTGTTGTTGATGCCATTGCTTGTGGTGGGGATTCGATATTATGGTCCTTTGCTTTTGGGTATTTGAAGGATTGAAGACTAGCTAATGGAGTAACGAGGCAATGGTATGGTATGCTATTTATAGACAATTATGGGTGTGTGAACATGAGAATTTTTTCAAAGTAATTTAAATGCATGCGTGAGAAAGAATGTAATTAATATTGTAAGTTTATTGTCATTTTATATCAAAGAAATTTTACTTTTTATGTTGGAGAAAAAGTTAAATTTTATCCCACTAGTAAGTGACTCTTTCCCCTTCTTATTCTTCTTGTTTTGTTTGTTCCACTCATGTAACATGTTTATTTACTTTTTCACAAAAAAATAGAATCATTTCTTGATAAGTCGTATTTTTTACATATTAGTTGTCATGTTTCCATACTTTTTAATTGTTTGTTTGAGCTTAACTGTTGATTACAACTGATTCTTGCTATTTTTGTAGGAAATCTTTGGAGTTTGAAAATGATGAATATTATGTGATTTTGATGTGCAAAAACGTAAGAAACAAATTTTTCTATGTGAAAATAATCGAATGAATGATATTTTCTATTGATAATGTACACTTTGTATCTTTTTACAAAAAAAAAAATTAAAAAATAATAAAAAAAAACATAAAATTTTTTAGCCACAAACACAAAGTTACAATTCTTTGTTTTCGAGCCCTTCTAAAATAGATCCAGATTAGTCTTTGAATACAATCATTATCTCTAAAATGATTCCTAATTAAGGTCATTATTTTGATAGAATATTGGCTAATTATTCACTTGAAGAAATATGAATACAAGACAAACTTTTGATTAGCTCTGAAATTGTAAATAACGAAAGTAATTACAAGTCAACCTAATAATTTGTTCGAAATTCTTGTTCGCGTAGACTAAAACTACTCTCATAATTTTACTATAGGCCATCACGCTCAACCACACAAGTGGATATTATTCCTATTTGTGAATCATAGGACATTATTATATTACCAAATAAACGTTGTAAGGGAATTATGAAAGAATGAGCTCAACCGATTAAAGAGGTAACATAGACAACATCTAACTATAATATATGTGTATTTGGAGGTCAATTAATTATGAAAGAACATAATTTCATTGTTATTTCTATAAAATTAATTATTTCTCATTAAACATGATTTATCCATGTGTAATTGGAAGAAAATAGATGTATATGTTAATTAAATGAATTTATGTCCATGTATCATATCATATATATTAAGCCAGCTCGGTTAGACGTTCGATTCATGTCCTAGCTCAAATGTACAAATACAAAAAAGTCGTTGCGACACTGAAAAGGGGTGTAAGGCATACTAGGATTGTAACATAAATAAGTACTAGTGTAATTAACCGTGAGAATCAAACATGGAGCTATTTTAAATTGTCTATGATGCTATCATATACACATATAATGTTATCTTTTATAGTATCCATGTTTGAATACATGATATTATTTTACAGTTTGGATACTGGATTGTCTATGACTTTTAAGACCCTCACAAGAGTCAATAATGCTACACACTGGCCGTATGAAGGCCCCCATTTAGTAGTTGAGGGAATATATGATTTTGTTATTATTTAGATTTCTTGTTTTAAGGTAAAAAGGAAAAGGGCAAAACAAATTTGTTTCTATTTGGAATAAAAAAGAAAATGAGATTGACTAAAAAAGTCCAAAGTAAAAGAATAGTGGTACAATTTCAAACTCAGTACTAAAGTAGTAATTTGAAATAAAAGAAGTGTTTTCCATGTTGACTCAGACTTAGAATGGTTTACATTTGAAGAAGTGTCTGGCTCTCCTTTGTCGTGCGTTGATATTGAGTTCATTTGAGGGATACTACATATCTTTTGGTATAATTTTACATAACAGTTTTTATTATTTGGTTACCCTTAAGAATTGATTGGAGATCATTTTATTTAATTTTATTTTTTCATTTCTTATAGGTCTTGGGATTATTATGGTTTGGAGAAAATTTCTTTATTTTTTTGGACTATTGAGTGTTTAAATATGTGATATTATTTTTTGTTCTCTTTGGCATACGCGTATCTGCAAGTCAGTACCAAGAAACAAATATTTTTGAAATTAGGTAAGGCTGTTGTAATGCATAATTATAATTACTCAATTATATTCTGCCGATAATTATGCATGGTTTTAACCTCAAATTACATGCTACAGAAAAAAACTAATAAAACCATAACATATAATAACATAAATATGTATTTTCATAAAAAAGACACGCCGGGTCAACCCACAACGACTAAGCCAATTTATACAAGAATTTGTGTCCAAATATGTATGAGCCGACAATTAGGACATTAGTATTTTATTCATTCCAATAGTATGGCTGAAAAATAAAAACAACATGACAATAAGTACATGGATTAATATCCTTATTTCAGTTTGCCAAGTTTCCTAGTTGTATAATACAAGGCCTTTTTCGGGCCGATTCCACCCCAGGTGATTCTATTTATTTGTGCCACAAATTTAATGGTATTGGGCTTGAGTTTGAGCTCGGGGAGCTGATTTCCTCGTCATCGTCTTAGTATAGAGAATTTGATTTCCGAGCAAAAGCCTCCTCGTTAAGAGATGCTGACTCTGGGCCTAAAGCCTCCTCGTTAAGAGATGCCGACTCTGGGCTTAAAGCCTCCTCGTCAAGAGATGTTGCTGATTGTGGCCCAAGTGTTTGCTTTCCGGGCACATTCCCAGAGCTTTTAAGCCCAATGGACTCGACCATCCCACGACGTGCGCCTGATTGACGCATCTCGCAGAACATCGGGAGGAAAACCCCTAGCCATCATCAATTTTAGTGGAAAATTAATGAAAAAGAAATATAAATAGTTAAATACGTAAACTCGTAATTGTAATTCAAATTAACTCTAGCTCGATTTTTTTTTAATTATTTTTAAATTTGAATTTAGATTTTTAACCTAAATTTATTGAATAAAGGTTGGATACCTTCTCCGGCTGCAAGGTTGAAGTAGAGATCGACGATGTTAGGGCAGTTGTTATAGCATGCTCTCGAGCATAGGCTCTGGGCAAACCTGCGGTCAAGGAGCGAGTCGGACGATATGCCAAGTGCTTGCCTGTCGACCCCACACGACCTGATGCACTCGTCGGTCTCGAGCAAGTTTCTAATCTTGTCAGCCACGATCTCGGAGGTCCCACATGTGTAAGTAGTCGTCCCACTCATGCGCAGGCGACTCTCAAGCACGCATCGCTTGCCGGATGACGACACAGAGAACGCACATGATTTCTCATCGAGGTCCTCACAAAGGATGTCCATACCTACACGATAGTCGTATTATATGATACTGGTTGCATTTTGAATTTATACTTTGAATATTTTAAATATTTATGCATAACTATTACAAACATTTGTTTATATATCGATGAATCTCGTGTCATATACGAGTGTTGCAGTAACAAAAAACACATGTGATTCATGACTTACTAAGAATTGATTGAGTTGAGATGGCTAGGGAAAGAACAATGATCAGAATTGTTGTTGATGCCATTGCTTGTGGTGGGGATTCGATATTATGGTCCTTTGCTTTTGGGTATTTGAAGGATTGAAGCCTAGCTAATGGAGTAACGAGCCAATGGTATGGTATGCTATTTATAGACAATTATGGGTGTGTGAACATGAGAATTTTTTCAAAGTAATTTAAATGCATGCGTGAGAAAGAATGTAATTAATATTGTAAGTTTATTGTCATTTTATATCAAAGAAATTTTACTTTTTATGTTGGAGAAAAAGTTAAATTTTATCCCACTAATAAGTGACTCTTTCCCCTTCTTATTCTTCTTGTTTTGTTTGTTCCACTCATGTAACATGGTTATTTACTTTTTCACAAAAAAATAGAATCATTTCTTGATAAGTCGTATTTTTTGCATATTAGTAGTCATGTTTCCATACTTTTTAATTGTTTGTTTGAGCTTAACTGTGGATTACAACTGATTCTTGCTATTTTTGTAGGAAATTTTTGGAGTTTGAAAATGATGAATATTATGTGATTTTGATGTGCAAAAACGTAAGAAACAAATTTTTCTATGTGAAAATAATCGAATGAATGATATTTTCTATTGATAATGTACACTTTGTATCTTTTTACAGAAAAAAAAATTAAAAAAAATTAAAAAAAAAAACATAAAATTTTCTTCCACAAACACAAAGTTACAATTCTTTGTTTTCGAGCCCTTCTAAAACAGATCCAGACTAGTCTTTAAATACAATCAGTATCTCTAAAATGATTCCTAATTAAGGTCATTATATTGATAAAATATTGGCTAATTATTCACTTGAAGAAATATGAATACAAGACAAACTTTTGATTAGCTCTGAAATTGTAAATAACGAAAGTAATTACAAGTCAACCTAATAATTTGTTCGAAATTCTTGTTCGCGTAGACTAAAACTACTCTCATAATTTTACTATAGGCCATCACGCTCAACCACACAAGTGGATATTATTCCTATTTGTGAATCATAGGACATTATTATATTAACAAATAAACGTTGTAAGGGAATTATGAAAGAATGAGCTCAACCGATTAAAGAGGTAACATAGACAACATCTAACTATAATATATGTGTATTCGGAGGTCAATTAATTATTAAACAACATAATTTCATTGTTATTTCTATAAAATTAATTATTTCTCATTAAACATGATTTATCCATGTGTAATTGGAAGAAAATAGATGTATATGTTAATTAAATGAATTTATGTCCATGTATCATATCATATATATTAAGCCAGCTCGGTTAGACGTTCGATTCATGTCCTAGCTCAAATGTACAAATACAAAAAAGTCGTTGCGACACTGAAAAGGGGTGTAAGGCATACTAGGATTGTAACATAAATAAGTACTAGTGTAATTAACCGTGAGAATCAAACATGGAGCTATTTTAAATTGTCTATGATGCTATCATATACACATATAATGTTATCTTTTATAGTATCCATGTTTGAATACATGATATTATTTTACAGTTTGGATACTGGATTGTCTATGACTTTTAAGACCCTCACAAGAGTCAATAATGCTACACACTGGCCGTATGAAGGCCCCCATTTAGTAGTTGAGGGAATATATGATTTTGTTATTATTTAGATTTCTTGTTTTAAGTTAAAAAGGAAAAGGGCAAAACAAATTTGTTTCTATTTGGAACAAAAAAGAAAATGAGATTGACTGAAAAAGTCCAAAGTAAAAGAATAGTGGTACAATTTCAAACTCAGTACTAAAGTAGTAATTTGAAATAAAAGAAGTGTTTTCCATGTTGACTCAGACTTAGAATGGTTTACATTTGAAGAAGTGTCTGGCTCTCCTTTGTCGTGCGTTGATATTGAGTTCATTTGAGGGATACTACATATCTTTTGGTTTTATTTTACATAACAGTTTTTATTATTTGGTTACCCTTAAGAATTGATTGGAGATCATTTTATTTAATTTTATTTTTTCATTTCTTACAGGTCTTGGGATTATTATGGTTTGGAGAAAATTTCTTTATTTTTTTGCACTATTGAGTGTTTAAATATGTGATATTATTTTTTGTTCTCTTTGGCATACGCGTATCTGCAAGTCAGTACCAAGAAACAAATATTTTTGAAATTTGGTAAGGCTGTTGTAATGCATAATTATAATTACTCAATTATATTCTGCCGATAATTATGCATGGTTATAACCTCAAATTAAATGCTACAGAAAAACATTAATAAAACCATAACATATAATAACATAAATATGTATTTTCATAAAAGAGACACGCCGGGTCAACCCACAACGACTAAGCCAATTTATACAAGAATTTGTGTCCAAATATGTATGAGCCGACAATTAGGACATTAGTATTTTATTCATTCCAATAGTATGGCTGAAAAATAAAAACAACATGACAATAAGTACATGGATTAATATCCTTATTTCAGTTTGCCAAGTTTCCTAGTTGTATAATACAAGGCCTTTTTCGGGCCGATTCCACCCCAGGTGATTCTGTTTATTTGTGCCACAAATTTAATGGTATTGGGCTTGAGTTTGAGCTCGGGGAGCTGATTTCCTCGTCATCGTCTTAGTATAGAGAATTTGATTCCAGAGCAAAAGCCTCCTCGGTAAGAGATGCTGACTCTGGGCCTAAAGCCTCCTCGTTAAGAGATGCCGACTCTGGGCTTAAAGCCTCCTCGTCAAGAGATGTTGCTGATTGTGGCCCAAGTGCTTGCTTTCGGGGCACATTCCCAGAGCTTTTAAGCCCAATGGACTCGACCATCCCACGACGTGCGCCTGATTGACGCATATCGCAGAACATCGGGAGGAAAACCCCTAGCCATCATCAATTTTAGTGGAAAATTAATGAAAAAGAAATATAAATAGTTAAATACGTAAACTCGTAATTGTAATGCAAATTAACTCTAGCTCGATTTTTTTTTAATTATTTTTAAATCTGAATTAAGATTTTTAACCTAAATTTATTGAATAAAGGTTGGATACCTTCTCCGGCTGCAAGGTTGAAGTAGAGATCGATGATGTTAGGGCAGTTGTTATAGCATGCTCTCGAGCATAGGCTCTGGGCAAACCTGCGGTCAAGGAGCGAGTCGGACGATATGCCAAGTGCTTGCCTGTCGACCCCACACGACCTGATGCACTCGTCGGTCTCGAGCAAGTTTCTAATGTTGTCAGCCACGATCTCGGAGGTCCCACATGTGTAAGTAGTCGTCCCACTCATGCGCAGGCGACTCTCAAGCACGCATCGCTTGCCGGATGACGACACAGAGAACGCGCATGATTTCTCATCGAGGTCCTCACAAAGGATGTCCATACCTACACGATAGTCGTATTATATGATACTGGTTACATTTTGATTTTATACTTTGAATATTTTAAATATTTATGCATAACTATTACAAACATTTGTTTATATATCGATGAATCTCGTGTCATATACGACTGTTGCAGTAACAAAAAACACATGTGATTCATGACTTACTAAGAATTGATTGAGTTGAGATGGCTAGGGAAAGAACAATGATCAGAATTGTTGTTAATGCCATTGCTTGTGGTGGGGATTTGATATTATGGTCCTTTGCTTTTGGGGGTTTGAAGGATTGAAGACTAGCTAATGGAGTAACGAGCCAATGGTATGGTATGCTATTTATAGACAATTATGGGTGTGTGAACATGAGAATTTTTTTCAAAGTAATTTAAATGCATGCGTGAGAAAGAATGTAATTAATATTGTAAGTTTATTGTCATTTTATATCAAAGAAATTTTACTTTTTATGTTGGAGAAAAAGTTAAATTTTATCCCACTAATAAGTGACTTTTTCTCCTTCTTATTCTTCTTGTTTTGTTTGTTCCACTCATGTAACATGTTTATTTACTTTTTCAAGAAAAAATAAAATCATTTCTTGATAAGTCGTATGTTTTACATATTAGTTGTCATGTTTCCATACTTTTTAATTGTTTGTTTAAGCTTAATTGGGGATTACAACTGATTCTTGCTATTTTTGTAGGAAATCTTGGAGTTTGAAAATGATGAATATTATGTGATTTTGATGCACAAAAACGTAAGAAACGAATTTTTCTATGTGAAAATAATCGAATGAATAATATTTTTCTATTGATAATGTGTACTTTGTATCTTTTTACAGAAAAAAAATAAAAATAAAAAATAAAAAAACATAATTTTTTAGCCACACACACAAAGTTACAATTATTTGTTTTCGAGCCCTTCTAAAACAAATCCTGATTAGTCTTTGAATAAAATCATTAGCTCTAAAATGATTCCTAATTAAGGTCATTATTTTGATAAAATATAGGCTAATTATTCACTTGAAGAAATATGAATACAAGACAAACTTTTGATTAGCTCAGAAATTGTAAATAACGAAAGTAATTACAAGTCAACCTAATAATTTGTTCGAAATTCTTGTTCACGTAGACTAAAATTACTCTCATAATTTTGCTTTAGGCCATCACGCGCAACCACACAAGTGGATATTATTCCTATTTGTGAATCACAGGACATTATTATATTAACAAATAAACGTTGTAAGGGAATTATGAAAGAATGAGCTCAACCGATTAAAGAGGTAACATAGACAACATCTAACTATAATATATATGTATTTGGAGGTCAATTAAGTATGAAAGAACATAGTTTCATTGTTATTTCAATAAAATTAATTATTTTTCATTAAACATGATTTATCCATGTGTAATTGGAAGAAAATAGATGTATATGTTATTAAATGAATTTACGTCTATGTGCCATATCATATATATTAAGCCAGCTCGGTTAGACGTCCGATTCATGTCCTAGCTCAAATGTACAAATACAAAAAAGTCGGTGCGACGCTGGAAAGGGGTGTAAGGCATACTAGGATTGTAACAAAAATAAGTACTAGTGTAATTAACCGTGAGAACCAAACATGGAGCTATTTCAAATTGTCTATGATGCTATCATATACACATATAATGTTATCTTTTATAGTATCCATGTTTGAATACATGATATTATTTAAGAATTTAGGTACTGGATTGTCTATGACTTTTAAGACCCTCACAAGAGTCAATAATGCTACACACTGGATATAAAGACCCTCACAAGGGTCAATAATGCTACATGTTATCTTTTTATATTGGATTGTCTATGACTTTTAAGACCCTCACAAGAGTCAATAATGCTACACTCCGACCAGCTTGAATCGGCTCGTCTTTCTCCTCCTCGCCGGTAGAATGCCGCGTACCTGCAATGAACTCTCACACCGGGGGGTTTTTCTGGTGAAGAGCCTCTGATGCTTAAGTCAGTGTATATTTTACTCAATTCTCCAAAGTATGTAATGGATAAATCGTAAGTAACAAGAAAGGGCTCACTCCTATATATATAGGAGTGAGATACCTACCCTAGGAGCTGCCCAGATTTGGTGAGCTGTCCTATCCGCTCTGCCTGTCCGTACACACACAGTGTGTATGTGTGTGTCAGAGGTGGTTATCGCCACTATCTCTCCGCACCAATACGCTCTTGCCACGTGCCCCGCTGCGCAGGGGTAATTATTCCCTTGAATATTCCCTTGAGATTTCCTGACGAGAGCCACGTGCCTCCTCGCGTTCCAACCACGCCCCCGATTGCTCTTCACTCACCGAGTGCTCGATCTGATCGAGTTTCCATTCACTAGATCGATCATCGATCCAATCTGCTATCACGCTCGACCACTTTCTTTCAGCCTATTACTGTTCGACCAGCGTGGTTCTCGATATTAGGCTTGTACGGCCGGCCCCGCGAACCGAAATATTCTCTAAGTATATAATATCCCAAAATATCTAGTCCTCCCCACTCTGGTCAAGTCTGAATGACTCGATCTAAGAGTGAGCTTGTGCCTACCTCTTCGATCTGTTGCCTTTTCGACCCTCTGGTTGGATCTGTACTCCTCCCTCGATCATCAGACCAATATCGCTCCCATTTTTCGACCACTTGACCGATTTTATAGTGCGTTTTATCCGCCCTTTATTTCCTTTTATTGTAAGTGCGATTTTCACCTGCCACGCGTCTTTTCAGTTCAGTACCTTTAATGATCGTGTCTCCTCGCGATTTGCGCCGCTTCGCTATTCGTGCCTTTTTAATTCCTCCAACCGTTAGATCTTACTCTCATCTAATGGCTACTTCCACCAACTCTTCACCTTATTCTCCTGTACTCATATAAATACAGTACATAGTCAATTTTTCGGCTTTTCTCACCTTTTGCAAATCTCAAATTCTCTTGCCCTAATTCCTTCCTCTGCAAACTGCGCTCTTCTGTTCTTGGCGTTTTTGCTCCATCGGCTTCAAGCTTTTTTGCAACTCTCTCCACCGCAATCATGAGTAAGTTCCCCGTGCTTCTAATTTTTCGCTAGTATGTTTTTATTTTGTCGATTTCTGGGTGTCCTCTGTTGGTTCTTATCTTCCCAAGCCTTTCCATTTCGTCTACGAAGAAGTACCCTCTTTCGCCTTCCAAGACCCTAACTGCTCTCATTTTCCTCTTGGTTTTCCTTTCTTTTGTTTTTCAGATTCTGTTGCTTCTAATGCGCAAAGCCCTCATTCCGGTGAAGATGCGACATTTACGTCACCGTCCCCCACTCATCGACATACTCCTCACTCGCCTTCCTGCTCTGTTGAAGAAATCTATAATCCTGTTCCTCTCAACTTCTTACGCCCATCCGATTTCTTTACACCTCCTTCTTCTTCCCAACCTCATCGTCTGATTGACGAATCAGATGAGGACACGCTTGACAACGTTCCCTTCACTCGCGGGCGTTTGGGGCCTCTGACGCCATTGAAGCGGCTCTTGATTCCGCTGAGGGGGACGAAGATGATGTTCCTCTTTCTCACCGTTCTGCCTTTTCTAAAGCCGATTCCTCGAGTAACCTTAAACAAAGTGCTCCTTCCCAATCCAAGGTGAAATCCTCAACTATCACCGCTTCTAAAACCAAGTCTGCTCCTACTACCGTTCTTTCTCTCGAGCCTTCTCAGAAGAAGAAAAGATTAACCAAAGCCTCCTCTTCGAAACAAACTTCTTCCCGTGCTCTTATAGCCGACTGGCTAAACACTGATGAGATCGGCTACCCGGCTAAATGGGCCTTTGTATCCCCTGGTCCCAATGACACTTATGATAACCCTCCGTCGAACTGTTATACCTTTTTCGAGGTACAATTTAAACTTGGTGTCCGTTTTCCCTTATGCGAGGACTTGCTCGATATTTGTAAGTGGTTTGACCTTTCCTTGAACCAACTCCCTCCTAACGCTATCCGCTTCATAACCGTCTTCATCATCCTCTGCCATCTCCATCTAGGTCGACTCGACCTAGACTTTTTCCATTACTGTTACACACCCTCGAAACATTTCCATGGGATCTATCTCAAGAGCCGTAATGATGTCCACTTTATTTCGGACACCCCTTCAAACGTTCCTAAGTGGAAAGATAAGTTCGACTTTGTCGAGCCTAGCCCCGCCTTCCCTTGGATGCCAACTCCGTGGCTTAAGGAGCTTCCACGTGAGTATGCGGTACCTGCTTCCAATGCCCTCTTCGACCAACGGATTGCCGTGTGGAATCGCAAGCCTATTGCGTCGAAGACTCTGCTCGAGGATGAGGACCTCTTACACTTTTGTGGTATTCTCACCCACAAACCTTGCTTTCTCCCTAGCCAGAAATTTTTCTATCTTATCCAGATCGAGGGCGACCCAGATATTTATTGCTAAGCGTTTTCGAGCGTTATTATTTAAGTTCTTATGTGGTTTATTTATTTTGATGCTAACTTGCTCGCTATCTTTTGCAGAGATGTCTACTATCCCGTTGCCTAAGAGGAAAGTGCCTTTGAAGAAAAGGCCGTTGAGGGGCCGAGCTCAAAACCCGCTGACTCTACCACCTCTCAATCTAATCGCTCTGCCTCGCCCCCACCCGAGCAGGCGGCGACTTCCTTCATGGAGGTCGATCCTCGTCCTTCCTCCGTTCAAGAGACGGTCATCGAGGAAATATCCTCGACCAAACTTCATGTCGACGGGCCACCCAAGGAGCCTGAGCAACCCGCCTCTCCTCGACCATCTTCTCCTCCCGCCGACTCGACCACTCTAGTTATACACATACCTGCTTCCCCTGAAGGCAAGCTAGCCAAGGAGGCTCGGCTAAAACGTCCATTCCTCGAAAAGGACGAGGGGGCTAATAAGCGCTCCCGCCTCGAAGATACCGCCATTGTCACTCGTTCCTCCAACCTCTCACTTACGAAGTTCAATGGAATGGGGGTGTCTTCCTTTCTTAGGGAAGTTCTTCCCTCTGTCGACCTTCCCACCGACCACCCTGATGACGGTCATACTCTTCATGACCGAGGTGACTGCATCGCTCGCTGGCTGGCGCAGGTAAGTTTCATAATTTCTTGATTATCTCTTTACTTCTCGCTCATTTTCTATTGTTTTCGCACTGACTCTTTTCTTTGTTATAGCCTATAGGGGATGGTCGAGCTTGCTCCGATAACCGAGCAAACCCTATTCAGCTCGAGCCGGTCTATCCCGACGATCGAGCAGAGGTCACTCCTTCTGCGGAACAAGAGAGACGAGCTCGTTTTTCGGAATCAAGAGCTTCGGGATAGGGTTAAGGAAGAGGCTGCTAAAGCCAGAGTTCTTCGATCAGAGAAGGAGACGCTCGAGGGGGCTCTTAAGTCGTACGAGGAGTCGC